CACATTTTCCATGTTTTTAGTTTTTTTACATTGATGTGTTCTGCCTATTGTTTTGCTTAAGCTATTTTTCATTGCTATTTTATTCCCATTAACCAACCAGCAATCAAATGCAGGCTGCACAGCAGCAGTGTCCAAACTCGGCCCTGGAGGGCCAGTGCCCTGCATGTTTTAGTTCCAACTCTAATTAAACACACCTGAACCAGCTTCAAGCTCTTTCTAGGTATACTAGAATCTTCCAGGCAGGTGTGTTGAAGCAAGTTGGAGCTAAATCGTGCAGAACACCGGCCCTCCAGGACTGAGTTTGGACACCCCTGCTGTATACAGTAGTATGGGTTAAAATACTGTTTTATGTCTGCTCAGTGCTCAACTAGTGCCTCCATGATTTTGGCCAGGAATTCTTTTTATTATTGCCACCTAAAATTACTTATTTTTTCTTTTTTCAAAATTTGTGGCAATAATGAACACCAGATATAGTGTTATTTAATATAAAACAATGCAGATGGTTGGCCAAAATCCCCAGGAAAAAAAATATTGCAAGTTCCTTTTGCACTACTTTCTTAATTTTGCTTTCTAATTATTTAATTATTTGTTTGTTTATTCTTATTATTTGCATTTTAACTATTTGCTAATTTAGCAAAACTCTGGAAGTACTTCTCAACACAAAACCTGCCTGTTTTTCTGTATAGCCCATGGAAATTCAGCTTTTTAGTCAGTGAAAAGTCAAGAAGTTGACTTTTGGCTTAGAGTGAAATAATTATTTTTTATTGTTTCAAGATTGCTCTTAAAGACGCCTTTCACGACTGCAAGCAAACTATTTTTCTCTTCACATAGGGATGTAGAGAGCTGAAAAACTTCTCCTCTCTGAAGGCCATTTTATCTGCCCTTCAGTCCAACCCCGTCTATAGGCTAAGGAAGACCTGGGCTGCAGTGAGCAGGTACAGACAAACCACACACACCTTATGCAGACAGTATTGGGTGCCATAAGTTATAAATGTAACTACTGTTACTTATAATGGTAACACTTTACAAGAAGGTTCATTAGTTAGTGTTAAGTAATTCATTTACTAACATGAACAAACAATGAACAATACATTTACTACCGTATTTATTCATGTTAATAAACGTTAGTTAATGAATATACAGTTGTTCATTGTTAGTTCATGTTAACTCATGGTGCATTATCTAATGTTAACAAGCATGGACTTAAATGTTAATAATGAATTAGTAAATGTTCAATTATGATTAATAAATGCTTTACATGTGTTGTTCATATTTGTTCATGTTAGTAAATGCATTAACTAATGAATCTTATTGTAAAGTGTTACCCTTATAATATACCTGCCTTAAAGTCCCCATGAAATCTAATTTTTTTTTAGATTTTAGTATCAATATGTTTGTCTTAAGGATATCTATAATCTAGCTTGCTCCAAAACAGTGACAAAATTCACATTTAGAAGACATAAACAATAAATTTGACATCACCTCATATTTTAGTTTCTCATCAAATAATCTGACCAATCAAATGCTCTCGAGTATCTGAAATGCCCCACCCCCTTCAAGACGCTTCTCATTTGATATAAGCTCAACCACTTTCACAGGTAGAGAGGATAAAAACGAAATGTTATTGGCTTTTGTTTTTCTAAAGGGGAGGAGCTATTCTATATCCCACTCTGTTTTCATGTTTCAGTTCAAATTGCATCATATTGAACAAAAATGCACATTTCAAATCTCTTCACGCAACCTCGTACATAAATTCAACAGTTCTATATAAATCAATGCAGGCAAGCAGAGTAATATATACAGTATTTTGCAGAGTTATTCTATTTTTTACCTAAAAAAACATTTAGCATTTATCAAAACAGATGATGTTCTTTAAGAAAACAAATTGAGAAATTAGTTTATGACAATATATGGTGTACGTTCAGAGAAGTGGAGTAATTATCAATATATATATATATATATATATATATATATATATATATATATATATATATATATATATATATATATATATATATATATATATATATATATATATATATATATATATATATATATATATATATATATATATATATATATATATATATATATATATATATATATATATATATATATATATATATATATATATATATATATATATATATATATATATATATATATATATATATATATATATATATATATATATATATATATATATATATATATATATATATATCTATATATATATATATATATATATATATGTATATATATATATATATATATATATATATATATATATATATATATATATATATATATATATATATATATATATATATATATATATATATATATATATATATATATATATATATATATATATATATATATATATATATATATATATATATATATATATATATATATATATATATATATATATATATATATATATATATATATATATATATATATATATATATATATATATATATATATATATATATATATATATATATATATATATATATATATATATATATATATATATATATATATATATATATATATATATATATATATATATATATATATATATATATATATATATATATATATATATATATATATATATATATATATATATATATATATATATATATATATATATATATATATATATATATATATATATATATATATATATATATATATATATATATATATATGTATATATTATTTAATATTATAAAAATTTGATCAAATCGGTTCCCAGTGTGTATAACTGGGTGTTTTATAACCTTTGAAAACAAGCCTATAATGTTTAATTAAAAATAAAATTACAAATTAAAATGAAAATATATTCCTAAAAAAATTACTCTAAAAATGAAATTCAGTAGAATTAAGTGCAATCTTAAATAAACAAAATAAATAAATAAAGAGTTCATATCAATCTTAGTGTTATTCAATGTATATAGAATGTGTTTAAACAGCAAATTGTAATTTGTAACTATAAATATACATTATTAAGTTTAATGTATTTAATTTAAAATGAGAACTAAGAAAAGTAAACGTGATTAAGTGTAATTTGAAATAAAAATTTAATATAGTATGAAAAAAATATGTATAATAAAATAAAAAAACAACTTTCACATTTAAACAAGGCATTTTTGTACTCTAAAATTGATCTAAAACAGAATTAAGTGTTTAAAGTGATTTTCAATCCCACATGAATTTAGCCTTTTAAAATAAGCCTAAAAGGTTTGATAAAATCGTATTATGTTAAGTAAGTAAAACATTAAACATTACTTTAAAATAAAATGTATTCCTTACCAAAATTAAAACTAAAAGTGAAAAGTGTCATCTCAAATGAAAATAATCTTAAATAGTACACTTAAAAATGTAAATAAAATATGCCTTAATATTAATCCTCAGTCCTAATAAATAAGTCTAAAAAGGATCAAATTATAATAAAATTAAATATTTTTAATAACAAAAATCATAATAAAATATAGCTTTAAAAGTAGCCAAGAACAGGGTAAATTGAAATAAACTCAGCTAAAACTGGAACTTTCTGTAATTTTAAAAGAGATTCACTAAATTATGGAATGACATCATATCCTTTTCCTAATGTTTGCTTCTGTTGTGTGTCCTCAGCTATGAGCTTTCCAGACAGCTGGAGTTTCCTCAAGACACTTCACCATCCAGCAGTGGCTGGAGCCACCGAATGCTCACCAAGAAACTCTCATCGTGAGTAAATCAGTCCCTAAATGTTTTCCGCACTCGTCCTATCAACTGCAAGCTTTCATTGGCATAATAGATGCTACACCAGATCTAATGCAGTCTAGTACATAACAGTATTTCATTTATATTGATTATTATATTGTATATTATAATATATAATTATTATTTATTGATTCTAGGCTTTTGTCCGGGAATGAGGGATCCAGAAAGAATGCAGATCAGATCAGCGTGTCCTCGTCAGGATCTAGCAGCTCTGAAACTGAGGACATGTCTTCTCAATCGTCAGCTTTTATATCACCGGTACTTGTGTTCACATATACTTTCATCATTACAAATGCTTTTATTATTGTTGTTAGCATTATTAAAGGCTCATTTTACAAGTAACCTATAGTAAACAGTAGTGTTTTACCATTTTGAATCTATTTAGACGATTTCCACGTGTGGAAATCTTTTAGCACTTTTAGCTTAGCTTAGCATAGATCATTGAATCGGATTAGACCATTAGCATCTTGCTCAAAAATGACCAAAGAGTTTAGATAATTTTCCTATTAAGAAAGCTTGACACTTTTGTTGTTACATTACTGTATCAAGACTGATGGAAAAAAAGTTCTAGGCTGATAGGGCTATACTCTCAAAATTATCAAAACTCTTTAAAAAAAAATTTATGAGATGCTAATGGTCTAATCCAATTTATGCTAAGCTAAGCTAAAAGTGCTCCCACCAGACATGAAGATCAAAGCACATTGAATGCTTTCTTCTTTCCACAAATTTTAAACAACATGCTACAAAAAAAATCCAAATATCCCTAATTCCTCAAATTCAGCGCATGAAAAGGCCTGTTGTTTTGCATGCGTTTTTATGTTCTTTAAGGGATAGTTCACCTAAAAATGAAAAATTCTTCATCATTTACTTAAACTCATGTGGTTGTAAACTTTTAGGGGTTTCTTTCTTCTGTTGAACACAAATTTCAGCTTATTTCTGCATCTGACATCCGATTCAATGACATATGCTAAGCTAAAAAGATAAGCTAAGCATATGTCATTGAATTGGATTAGATCGTTAGCATCCTGTTCAAAAATGACCAAAGAGTTTCGATAATTTTCATATTCTTAAAGCTTGACATTTTTGTAATTACATTGTGTACAAAGACTGGTGGAAAATGAGAAGTTGCTATTTTTAGGCTTATATGGCTATACCCTTAAAATTATCAAGACAATTTTTTAAAATAGCTTTTAGCTTAGCTTAGCATAGATTATTGAATCAGATCAGACCATTAGCATCTCGCTCAGAAAATTACCAGTGTTTTTATATATTCCCTATTTAGAAAGTTGGACACATTTGTACAGTAAAGTCACATCATGTACCAAGACTGGCGGAAAATAAAAAGGTGCTAATTTCTAGGCTGATTTGGCTATAGGAACTATAATCTCATTCTGCGTATTAATCAAGGCACATGCTGTACCATGGCTGCAGCAGGCACAAATAATTCCCAGCACCAAGCTCTACACTACCAGTTAAAACCTACATTATATAACAGTGGCTGGAAAATTACCAAAACTCTTTTTTTACAATTTTTTTTAATGAAATGCTAATGGTCTAATTCGATTCATTGCATTATGCTAAGCTAAACTAGAAATGCAGTAAAAGTGTAGTAAAATTCAACCATATTTATTGAAGTATTCCTTTAAAATTGGTCTAATTACTGTATATGAAACTGCCAATTAAAACTACTTGTAAAGCATCTCTGAATTCCAGATGATGTTCATTTCTTAGTGAATGTTTAATAACTCATCCAAATTCAAAGTTGCAATTGTTTTATTATTTAATGGAAATAATACCCAAGTTCAGTGTATGTTTTGAAGCTACATTAACATAATACAGTATCTTCTGTAACACATGTCATGTACCTATTTATGTCATCCAGGAATCATTGATATCGTTATAAGCTTAATATCCTGCAGACGTTCCATTACTCTGTTTGGTGCTTGTGTCTCAAACATAAGTGCAGAGGAGTGTATTCTGTGTCAGGAGTCATGCTCTCTGAAACCGCACCGTACCTTAGGGACACACAGACGTCAGCGCTCACATGCTTTAGATTCTTAGAAAATATTTGTGCTAATCTACTCTACATCATCATTTCAATGAATCTTAAAAATACACACTTTGAAGGCTTTCTTTCCCACAAGTTTGAAACAACACGCTACGAAAAAGGCAAATCTCCCAAATTTCTCAAATTCAGAGCCTGTTGTTTTGCATGTGATGTTTTGCCTTAAAGGGATAGTTCACCTAAAAATGATGATTTTCCTCATCATTTACTCAAACTCATGTGGTTCTGAACTTTTAGGAGTTTCTTTCGTCTGCTGAATACAAAAGAAATTATTATAAAGAATGTTAGAAACTGGTAACCATCAACTTCTATATTTATTTACTTCACATTAAATTCAATTATATTTATTTATTTAAATTAAATTGTATTTATTTAAGTTTTATTTAATTTAATCATTTATTTATATAAGTTTAATTAAATATAAATTAAATAAAATGAAAGTAAATAAAAGTTAAATTAAATTGTAATTAGTAAATAAAATTATACTTTATATTTAAATTTAATCAAATGACATTTATTTATTGACTTAAATTAAATTACATTCATTTATTTATTAAAATGTAATTTTATGGTTTATTTATTTAAATTAAATTAAATTGTATTTAATTACGTTTTCATTCATTCATTAATTTTCCTTCAGCTTAGTCCCTTTATTAATCTGGGTTCGCCACAGCAGAATGAACCACCAACTTATCCATCATATGTTTTATGCAGCGGATGCATTTCAGCTGCAACCCATCTCTGGGAAACATCCGGACACACTCAATCACACTCATACACTACTGACATTTTAGCCTGTCCAATTCACCTCTACCGCATGTCTTGGAAACCCTAGCGAACGCAGGGAGAACACACACAGAAACGCCAACTGACTCAGCCAAGGCTCGAACCAGCGACCTACTTGCTGTGAGGTGACAGCACTACCTACTGCCCCACTGAGTTGCCTTATTTAAGTTTTATTTAATTTAATTTAATTATTTTTTTACATAAATTTAATTAAATATAAATTAAATGAAAGCAAATAAAAATAGAATAAATTGGAATTAGTAAATAAAATTTTATTTTATATTTTAATTAAATTAAATTACATTTATTTATTTATTTATTTTATTTAATATTTATTTAATTTTATGATGTATTTGTTAAAATTACATTAAATTAAATTGCATTCATTTAAGTTTTATTTAATTAAATTAAATTATTTATTTATATATATATTATTAAATATAAATATAAATTAAAGTAAAGTAAAGTAAAGTACAATTAAATTGTAATTAGAAAAAAATATTATATTTTATATTTAAATTAAACTTAATTAAATTTTTTTTTATTTAAATTACATTTATTTATTTATTTATTTATTTATTTATTTATATATGTATTCATTAAGAGACAATGTTGACATGTTGTGCCAGAGTTAGCTATAAACCTAATTTGTGTCTGTAGTCGTAAGAAAATTAACAATAGACCCTTTCACATTTCCAGGTTTCTCAGTAGCGGAAGTCGTCATTGTTGGGAAAATGGGAGTCAATGGGCGAGTGCAACAAACAATTTTCCCCTTAAATCCCATAGACGCTGCATTAGAAACCCCTCGCACAAGCAGTTATTCGTTTTTTTGTAAATTGAAGCTAAGATGATATAATACATACATTCATATAAATGTTCAGATGTTTTTTAAAAATAAAAATAGTAAAAACTTTAAAGCATTTAAGATGCTGATGACCGTTAAACGCGTCATAACAGACTTGTAAAAAGGGTCCATTCAATTTTTAAAAAAATTGTACAACTCTTGTAAATAGTACACACATACAATACATCATAGTCAATAAGATATAATCAAATGAATGATTACATATTTGATTTTTCTTAAGCCAAACGTTAAGCACAAATATTAAACATGGTACTTTTTCTAATATGCACTGGTAAAAAAATGTCTAAAAACAGTTCTCTTTAGTTAAACTGAACAATTTCTGTGTGAACTAACCCTTCAATGATATTTTATTGTATTCATGCATGTACAATTGAAGTCAGAATTATTAGCCCTCCTGAATTATTAGCCCCCCCATGTATATTTTTGCCCCAATTTCTGTTTAACTAAGAGATTTTAACACATTTATGAACATTATAGTTTTAATAACTCATTTCTAATAACTGACTTATTTTATCTTTGCCATGATGGCAGTAAATAATATTTGACTAGGTATTTTAGATACTAGTATTCAGCTTAAAGTGACATTTAAAGGCTTAACTAGGTTAATTAGGAAAGTTGGGGTAATCAGGGAAACCATTATCTAACGATAGTTTGTTCTGTAGACAATCAATAGCTTAAAGGGGCTTTTGATACTAAAATGTCTGGCTCTAAATGAGACTCTTTTTTCCACCTCTAGTCTCATTCTAGCTGCGGTCAGAGCTCGACTGAGGCTTTTCCATCATCTTACACTCCAGATTCCTCCATCATGTCCAGTTCGTCCTTCAGCTCTCAGCAGGACCTCAGTCTGAGCCAACCTTCTCCCTCATCATCTTCAGCTTCATCAGACCCTCAGCACGTCTCGTCTCATAAACGCTCGTTCTCCATGACCACCCTGCCTTTCTACAACCGACAGGTGGACGACTCCTGCATCATCAGGGTCAGCGTGGAGTTCTGCAACAATGGCAACATGTACAAGAGCATACTGGTAAGAACTTGAATTTTGCACACATTTAAATGGGTCCCGTGAAACTAAAACAAAAAATGTGGAGGCTTATTTCAGTTTCAGATTGTTTTGAGAATATCTATAAGCTAGTGTGCTTAAAAACAGTGACAAAATTTGCATTTAGAAACTATAAACTGATATAAAGATCCAAAGCTTGCAGTTTGTCACTTCCACGTCACCTCATACTTCAGTTTCTCATCAAATCCTCTGACCAATCAAGTGCTCTCTAGTATCTGACATGCTCCACCCCTTCAAGACGCTTCACATTTGTTTTCATTTGATGCGCTTGAGCTCAACCACTCTCACTGGCAAAGCTGTGATCAAACAAAACGCTATTGGCTGTTTTTCTAAATGGGGAGGAGCTACTGTATGTCCCACCCTCTCTTTGTTTTTCAATCGAGATTACATAAACATTGAATAAAAAATGCAGATTTTAAAGCACTTCACAAGTAAAACATGTTAATAATATTTGAAAAATTTAAGTTAATTATTTTGCTCACCCCATTCGCTGATTATTTAGCTTGTTTTAAGGAAAAGTTCCCTTAATTTCGACCTATTTCTCAAAACAAGACTAGATTTTTTACTTGTCTGCAAAATGCTTCTTGATTTAAGAAGTTTTAGATATTTGGAATTAAAAGTAAAAAAAACTCAGCATTTTTTCAATGTGGAAAAAGTGTGGTTTTAATCTAATGTATTCAAGGCTTGAAAAGTGCTTAGAGTTTGGATAAAGTGGTTGAATCTGCTTGAAAATGTAATTGTGTTGCTTCTGTAGTAAATTATCTTACCAAATAGCTAATAACTATTAAATATTTAAATAAAATCTAATTGTTTTTTTTCTCTTGCTGCTACGGTCCCTAACTTAAATATGACTCGTGACAGAAAGACAACGTAACATAAATAAACAACGGCCAAAGTGCTCCAGCTAAATTATTTCTTAACATAACATAACCAGCAAAACAATCCAAATTGACAAGAGATGGGGAGCCCAAAAACATAATAAAGAACAACCAAACAGAAGGCAGGTTGGAGCTCCCCACTCCAAACAAATATCAAAATGAAAGCATAAAGGAGAACACAACAATAAAGCCGTCAACAACTGTGGTGGCGTGGAGGAATGAGGGACCGGTAGAAGTCCGCTTGTGTTTCTTTTAAAGGCCTGACGCCACCAGATCAACCAATAGAAAACTGAAAAAGACAAACAAGATCAATTGGAAGTAATTATTAAGGGCAGGAGTGAACGCCACACGCAACACTTGCATATTATGAAATTTCTGGAGCATGTGCCTGTAGCGTGATCTGCCTGCCATCAAAATTCTTACTATATTGTATACTATACTATACTATACTATACTATACTATACTATACTATACTATACTAGACTAGACTAGACTATACTATAACCTACTATACTATACTATAACCTACTATACTATACTATACTATACTAAACTATAACCTACTATACTATACTATACTATAACCTACTATACTATAACCTACTATACTATACTATACTATAACCTACTATACTATAACCTACTATACTATACTATACTATACTAAACTATAACCTACTATACTATACTATACTATAACCTACTATACTATAACCTACTATACTATACTATACTATAACCTACTATACTATACTATACTATACTATACTATACTATACTATACTATACTATACTATACTATATGTCTGTAATCCCACCCATTTCAAAGCGATATTAAACTGCAGAGGAAAAGCAAAATGATGCAATGTAAAGCATGCTAAGCTAAGCTGTTTATTTTCATGCAGTGGAAAAAGGGGCCTTTGTTTTATAGCACATACAAAAAAAGCATAATACAGTGTTACGCCTTTAATTATCCAAATATTTTTGTAAAACTTTTAATACACTGTATTGTTATTAAAAAAGTTTTTTGTGTAAATTAATTTATTTAAAACTTTCATTCAGAGCTTTTAAATATTGATTTTGTTACTTAAGAAGTATAATTATTTAAATGATGATCTAGGAGACACATCTGCTGAAATCCACACACACACACACACACACACACACACACACACACACACACACACACACACACACACACACACACACACACACACACACACACACACACACACACACACACACCATTCAAAACCAGTTCTTTAAGTAAACATACACACCCTCTTCCACAGAATATCCACAAAAAAAAAATTTATTAAACTAATTTTGAGAGGATCACGTGCTTAAGATTGCTTGCGGCTGGTCCTACATTTATTCAAGTCATGATTCACCAATCAGACGATTCCTAAGCCACTATAAATACCCTAAGTTTCATATAACAGCCATCTTCATTTTGAAGAATCCCTCCTTCCACCCCTACTCCTCCTCCTTTCCTAGATGGGTGGCACGGTGGCCCAGTGGTTAGCACTGTTGCCTCACAGCAAGAACGTCACTGGTTCTAGTCCTTACCAAGCCAGCCGACGTTTCTGTGCGGAGTTTACACATTCTCCCTGTGCTCACATGGGTTTTCAGCGGGTTCCCCGGTTTCCTCCCACTGTCCAAAAACATGCAACTTAAGCAGGGCACCTCATTTTACCGATCGCCCTCCTCAACCTCCCTCCTCCCCTGTCCACTGTTCACTTTAACTTTTTACTGCGACTCCCCAACCGTTTTTACTTTCATCCGTGACACGCCTACGCCATCCTATGCAACGCATCCCCCCACCCTCTCTCCCCGCTCCCCACTTTCAGTGCACGACACCTCTACATCCTCAGGTAACATGCCGGATCCGTCACCTTGATCAGTTCCAGGACCTCGCAATTCACAAATTAAGCACTAAACTTAAGTTAATTGACTAATCCAAATCGGCACCATAGACATGCTCCTATAAGTAGTTATCTCTTAAGAAGGGGAGTTCTCGAGATATACCTGAGCTCAAACTCCCCTCTTGCCTTGCAACCAAGAGGTAGCCCCGGGCTCGAGAATCTTATGAGCTCAGGGGAAACCCACGCTAACACATGCAAGAACATGCAAACTCTGGTCAGAAATGCCAACTGACCCAGCTGGAGCTCGAACCAACCTTCTTGCTGTGAGGCGATTGTGCTACCCACTGCGCCACCGTGCAGTCTATTCTTATTATCTTACTTTAATTCTTATTTCCTTCTTCTTTTTATTTTATTTTATGATATGTTGTGCAGTTGACCAGTCAGGATAAGACGGCACAGGTGATCCAGAGAGCGCTGCAAAAACACAACCTGGAGGATGTCGATGAGCAGGATTTCACCCTCATACAAATTCTGGCCCAAGGCAGAGGTACTGAATACTGATTCAAAGCAGGACAATTTATCTTTACCAACTCACCTACTTATACTATTTATTAACAAGCATTTATAAAGTATTTACTGTCAATATTACTAGCCCTCCTGTGATTTAATTACATTTTTTCCCAAATGATGTTTAACAGAGCAAGGAATTTTTTCACAGTATTTCCTATAATATTTAATCTTTTGGAGAAAGTCTTATTTGTTTTATTTCGGCTAGTATAAAAGCAGTTTTTAATTTTTGTAAAAAATATTTGAAGGTCAATATTATTAGCCCCCTTAAGCTATATTTATTCCAATTGTCTACAAAACAAACCGTCGTTATACAATAACTTGCCTAATTAACCTAGTTAAGCCTCTAAAGGTCACTTTAAGCTGAATAATAGTATCTTGAAAAATATCTAGTCAAATGTTATTTACTGTCATCATGGCAAAGATAAAACAAATCAGTTATTAGAAATGAGTTATTAAAACTTATGTTTAGAAATGTGCTGAAAAAATTGTCTTTCTGTTAAACAGAAATTGGTGGATAATATACAGGGGGGCTAATAATTCAGGAGGGCTAATAATTCTGACTTCAACTGTATATGAAAACTATGGATTAAAAGTGAGCGTTTATATGACTCATTCTAGAGTTGCGGGTACATTCCAGACCTTTCCATTCAGGCTGTTTTCCTTTCATTTTCCTGGAACTGGAATGACATGCAAGAACTGTATACAGTTTATACACTATATGTACAGTAAACGGAATCCATTAACGTAAAATGATGCAACATGGTTAAATAGGAAACATTTGATTCTGTTACTGGTGTTTAACTTATTGTTAAACCTTTTAGAACACTAACAGAGTTGATGGTAACAGATTTGACATTTATCACCATTTTGTGCTTTAGCTTAATCCAGATACCAAATGGCATGACTGAAACAGAATTGTATGTATTTTCATATTATACTATTATTATTATTATATTCATACTATTTTTAATATGACTGTTTTTAAGAAGTGAATAAAAAATTCACTAAAATTTGGCACATAATTAATCTGTTAATAAACAAATAAACAAATGAATGAGAGAAGACTGATTACACACTGCAATGACTTCCCAAGTTTCCCACTAGAGAAAATGACATCACTTGGAGCAAGTCACATGCTTTTTCTAAAAGTCCTTTAAGGGTTGTTATGCCTTTTTATAACCGATGTAACAGAGTTGACCAGAATGAGAGACATACACAAAATGTATTGCTCACACTTTATTTTGATGATCCATTTGTTAAATTTAAATTACACTGCAACTAATTCTCATTAGATTATAAGTAGACTTTTAGGTTAGGGTTGGGGTTTGTGTAAGTTGACATGTACTTGCAAAGTTTCATATAGTCAGATAAATGTCTGTTGAAGGAGCAGTATCAGCAGATATTAAGCAGACAGTCTACTAATTCTCAAATGGCCCATCAAAATAAAGTGTTACCCATGTATTTTTTACAAATGAAATTACAAATATTCACAAAAAATTGATATTTTATGCAAATACAAACACAATCAAAGATGAAAATTAAACTTCAGTGTAATTTCATAATAATAAAAGTTGAATGCAATATTCAGGAGATGGAGACAGTCAAAAGATAGCTACAGTATAAACCATTTTGAGGGATGTAAACAATGACAACATTCCTGACGTATTTCCTGTTTTACATTTTAAATTTCTATAACTTCTGAGAGTCCAAAAAGTTCCAAATATTAATAAATAATGTTACAAAAGCTGTTATAACATCTAGTTATGATTGAATCCCCTCTTGTTGCAGATATGAAATAGTTTGACAACAAGCAAAGTTCATGGGCCAATGATCTATAAAGCTTTGTTAACATTTTCAAGACATAACATCCCTAAATACATATACAAACATACATTATTTAGATATATCTTTATATATGTTGTATTATTATTCAAAACTGTTTCTGTAATGACTAATATTAATAATACTAATTATTGGTTTTACCAATAATAATGTCACTTGAGGTGCAATGGGGTGTTTCCGACATGGTAAGTCCAAACATTAAAGGTCGTCCTCCATAATACTGCTTTTCAATGTTTATTTATCATACAGTTCGTACAGTTCCATTTTCAACTCACAATTCATACACTTTATCATGCAGTCATGAACCACATAAGATTTTCCATGCTGCTTTACCACGGTCATGGTCAAAATATGTTTTGTGAATGTCTTCTCTTCCCATTTTGCCAACATATCCACTTGTTAAGTCGTGACATATAAAATACTGTTTCCGGGTCCAATCCGCTACTCATTTGAATTGAGAAAATTGTAATTTATGACCACTTTTTAGTCATATCACTTATTAAAGGGAATTTGATATAGAATCATGTTGTACATAACAGTCACAGACACCATTCATTTAACAATATATATCTATAAAAAATTAATCACTTTCTGGCCATCTGATATTAGGCATGGAAATATATATTGCGATCATTCTAAAGCAGGGGTGACCAAACTCAGTCCTGGAGAACCGGTGTCCTGCATAGTTTAGCTCCAACTTCCTTCAACACACCTGCCTGGAAGTTTCTAGTACACCTAGAAAGAGCTTGATTAGCTGGTTCATGTGTGTTTAGTTGGGGTTGGAACTAAAATATGCAGGACACCGGCCCTCCAGGACCAAATTTGGGCACCCCTGTTTTAAAGTATTACATCGCTTTGTAAATGTTTATTATTATCATTTGATGAGCCTCCCCATACAGTTTGATAAAAGCCGGAAGCCACTTCGCATGACGTCCCACTCAACAAGCGGATATGTTATTCAGAACTCTAGAGGTCAAACACAGAATTACAATACAAAAAAAGGCTCTTACAGTTTCATTAAAGCTTTTGTTTAAAAAAAATGTAAGTTTAATCTTGGAGAGTAAAATGTGCCTGCATTTCCAGAATACACGCTGCACAATCCTAATGTATATTTTTGTTGTTGTTGTTGTTGTAGAGTTGCTTATCCCCGAAAAGGCCAACGTCTTTTACGCCATGTCTACATCAGCCAACTATGACTTTGTTCTACGCAGATGCCCAAAAGATCAACGCAAACAACTCATACGCTCCATTTCGCTGTCATCAGGACGAGCAACAAAATAACAGCTTCCATTTCTGGAGAATTGACTTCATTCAGACACTAAAGGAAATTTTTCTACGTGAAACTACATTCACAAGCTTTTTAAAGGGGACCTATTATGCAAAAATCCCTTTTATAAGGGGTTTAAACACAGTTGTGTGGCAAGTCTGTGAAAATAACCAAACTCTAATGGTAAAGATGTATTAATTACATTTTTATTATCACACTAGATTAAAACAGTCTGCAGAAACACTTTGATTGACATTCTCAGTGCTAGTTGTACGTGCCAACAGAGGAGAAAGCCCCGCCCAGTAGTGACGATCTGTCCCTCATTAGCATAGGACAGTAGTCCTGTTGTTGAACCTGCCACTAATGCTGACACACAGGCATTTGTAGCTCCTCCCTCTTTTGAAAAAGAGCAAACTCATTTGAATTTAAAGCGACAGTCACCAAAATGAAACAATTAGGATCAGAGCGTTAAAGGAGCAGCTTTAAAAACATTGTTTGATTGGTATTTTGAGTTGAAACTTAACACACACACACACACACACACACAGAAAGCATGATAGTTCCCCTTTAAATGTCCATAATGGCTTTCATTTCAATGCATCAGGAAACCCAAGATGAGATTTCTCTTTTTTTAATGCATACATGTACTTGGTTAAAAAATGAAAACGTGAGGACAACTTGAACTTGAATGTGGCTTTGCGGTGGAAAGGCAAATGTCACGGGTTCAGTTTCATGAACTCGTAACCCTGTCCCGGCTGCTTTGAATTGTTTTAAGTGACAAGAACACGATAACAAACGCTGCACCTTCTTGAATTCCTCACATTCAGTGCAGTGATAAAGGGATGAAGCGATGTTTTCGGCGACCTTCAGCTCTCATTCTTTGCCTGTCATAAAGAGATGTTCAAACCAGATACACTATTATAATGCGAAAACCTTGAATAGAAACACAATCACACACCCAGAGGCCTGGGATGAGACTTTTATAAAGGTCAGTATGGTTGATATCAGTTTATTGTGATTATACCATGCGACGATGGCTTGTATGTGAGGACAACCTTTCATATTTCTGTCCAATTTTATGTGGGGTTTTCATTCGAGGGCATTTTATAAATTTGTTGTTAAATATCACTGTATGGGGTTGTTTTGCTGCATTACTTAACATTCATTGAATGCTTTTAATGCCAGCTAACAGGAAACCTTCATCTAATGTTATGGCAACGTTCTTTCAATGTTATGAACAAACGTTTTTTTTTTTAATTGCAGATTTTAGATGGGTTAAGATAAATCAGAAAAATCCATACAAATTGTGTTATTTACACTGTAAAAATGCTGCCCAGCAAGCACACAACATCATGAGATGTTAATATTTGGTTAGATTCAGGTTGTGACATCAGGTGACCAAAATGCAAAGTCTAGCCAGTGTCTAAGGAGAACGTTAGTTTGACGTCCAATGATATTTAGTTGTTTTAGGTTGTGTGACTAAAAATCCAGCGTTGAGCCAACATCTTAAACCAACATCATATTGACATCAAATACTGACACTTATTCTTCAGATATGGCAACCAAACTCTGACGTCTGATAGACGTCATAGTGGTAACGTCCACACAACGTCAAGCTGTAACATCATTAGACGTTGATATTATTTGATTTTAGGTTGTGTTGAAAAGTGACCAAAATCCAACGTCGAGCCAACATCTTAAACCACCGTCATATTGACATCAAATACTTACACTTATTCGTCACCTATGGCAGTCAAAATCCAACGTCTGTTAGACGGCATAGTCGTAACGCCCACACGACTTCAATCAAATATCAACGACTAATGATGTTACAGCTTGATTTTAGGTTGTGTTGGAAAGTGACCAAAATCCAACGTCGAGCCAACATTTATTATTATTATTATTCATTTATGGCAACCAAAATCCAACGTCTGATAGACGCTATAGTGGTAACGTTCATACAACGTCAAGCTGTAACATCATTAGACGTTGATATTTGATTGATTTTAGGCTGCAGTCTAGAGTGACCAAAATTCAACGTCATATTGACATCAAATAGTGACATTTATTTGTCAGGTATGGCAACCAAACTCCAATGTCTGATAGACGTCATAGTGGTAACGTCCACACAACGTCAAGCTGTAATATCATTAGACGTTGATATTTGGTTGATTTTAGGTTGTGTTGAAAAGTGACCAAAATCCAACGTCGAGCCAACATCTTAAACCAACGTCATATTGACATCAAATAGTGACACTTATTCTTCAGATATGGCAACCAAAATCTAACGTCTGATAGACGTCATAGTAGTAACGCCCACACAACGTCAAGCAGTAATATTATAAGATGTTGATGTTTTGGTTGATTTTAGATTGTGTTGGAAAGTGACCAAAATCCAACGTCGAGCCAACATCTTAAAACAACGTCATATTGACATCAAATACTGACACTTATTCGTCACCTATGGCAGTCAAAATCCAACGTCTGTTAGACGGCATAGTCGTAACGCCCACACTACTTCAATCAAATAGGAACAACTAATGATGTTACAGCTTGATTTTAGGTTGTGTTGGAAAGTGACCCAAATCCAACGTCGAGCCAACATTTATTATTATTATTATTCATTTATGGCAACCAAAATCCAACGTCTGATAGACGCTATAGTGGTAACGTTCATACAACGTCAAGCTGTAACATCATTAGATGTTGATATTTGATTGATTTTAGGCTGCAGTCTAGAGTGACCAAAATTCAACGTCGAGACAACATCTTAAACCAACATCATATTGACATCAAATAGTGACATTTATTTGTCAGGTATGGCAACCAAACTCCAACGTCTGATAGACGTCATAGTGGTAACGTCCACACAACGTCAAGCTGTAATATCATTAGACGTTGATATTTGGTTGATTTTAGGTTGTGTTGAAAAGTGACCAAAATCCAACGTCGAGCCAACATCTTAAACCAACGTCATATTGACATCAAATAGTGACACTTATTCTTCAGATATGGCAACCAAAATCTAACGTCTGATAGACGTCATAGTAGTAACGCCCACACAACGTCAAGCAGTAATATTATAAGATGTTGATGTTTTGGTTGATTTTAGATTGTGTTGGAAAGTGACCAAAATCCAACGTCGAGCCAACATCTTAAAACAACATCATATTGACATCAAATACTGACACTTATTCGTCACCTATGGCAGTCAAAATCCAACGTCTGTTAGACGGCATAGTCGTAACGCCCACACTACTTCAATCAAATAGGAACAACTAATGATGTTACAGCTTGATTTTAGGTTGTGTTGGAAAGTGACCAAAATCCAACGTCGAGCCAACATTTATTATTATTATTATTCATTTATGGCAACCAAAATCCAACGTCTGATAGACGCTATAGTGGTAACGTTCATACAACGTCAAGCTGTAACATCATTAGATGTTGATATTTGATTGATTTTAGGCTGCAGTCTAGAGTGACCAAAATTCAACGTCGAGACAACATCTTAAACCAACGTCATATTGATGTCAAATAGTGACATTTATTTGTCAGGTATGGCAACCAATATCCAACGTCTGATAGACGTCATAGTGGTAACGTCCACACAACGTCAAGCTGTAATATCATTAGACGTTGATATTTGGTTGATTTTAGATGGTGTTAAAAAGTGACCAAAATCCAACATCGAGCCAACATCTTAAACCAACGTCATATTGACATCAAATACTGACACTTATTCTTCAGATATGGCAACCAAAATCTAACGTCTGGTAGACGTCATAGTGGTAACGCCCACACAACGTCAAGCAGTAATATTATAAGATGTTGATATTTGGTTAATTTTAGATTGTGTTGGAAAGTGACCAAAACCCAACGTCGTGCCAACATCTTAAAACAACGTCATATTGACATCAAATTATGACGTATTCGTCAGGTAAGGCAGTCAAAATCCAACGTCTGTTAGACGGCATAGTCGTAACGTCCACACAACTTCAATCAAATATCAACGACTAATGATGTTACAGCTTGATGTTAGGTTGTGTTGGAAAGTGACCAAAATCCAATGTCAAGCCAACATCTTAAACCAACATCATATTGACATCAAATGCTGACATTTGTTCTTCATTTATGGCAACCAAAATCCAACGTCTGATAGACGCTATAGTGGTAACGTTTATACAACTTCAAGCTGTAACATCATTAGACATTGATATTTGATTGATTTTAGGTTGCAGTCTGGAGTGACCAAAATTCAACGTCGAGACAACATCTTAAACCAACATCATATTGACATCAAATAGTGACATTTATGCAACCAAAATCTAACGTCTGATAGACGTCATAGTGGTAACGTCCACACAATGTCAAGCTGTAATATCATTAGACGTTGATATTTGGTTGATTTTAGGTTGTGTTGAAAAGTGACCAAAATCCAACGTCGAGCCAACATCTTAAACCAACGTCATATTGACATCAAATACTGACACTTATTCTCCAGATATGGCAACCAAAATCTAACGTCTGATAGACGTCATAGTGGTAACGCCCACACAACGTCAAGCAGTAATATTATAAGATGTTGATGTTTGGACCAAAACCCAACATCAAGCCAACATCTTAAACCAACGTCATATTGACTTCAAATACTGACATTTATTCGTCAGGTATGGCAATCAAAATCCAACGTCTGTTAGACGTCATAGTGGTAACGGCCACACAACTTCAATCCAATGTCAACGACTAATGATGTTACAGCTTGATTTTACAGTAGGTTGTGTTGGAAATGACATCAAATGCTGACATTTATTCTTCATTTATGGCAAACAAATACCAACGTCTGATAGACGCTATAGTGGTAACGTTCATACAACATCAAGCTGTAACATCATTAGGCATTGATATTTAATTGATTTTAGGTTGCAGTCTAGAGTGACCAATATTTAACGTCGAGACAACATCTTAAACCAACATCATATTGACATCAAATAGTGACATTTATTCGTCTGGTATGGCAACCACAAACCAACGTCTGATAGACGTCATAGTGGTAACGTCCACACAACATTAAGCTGTAACATCATTAGACGTTGATTTTAGGTTGTGTTAAAAAGTGACCAAAATTCAACGTTGAGCCAACATCTTAAACCAACGTCATATTGACATCAAATATTGACATTTATGCAACCAAAATCCAACGTCTGATAGACGTCATAGTTGTAACGTCCACACAATGTCAAGCTGTAACATCACTAGACATTGATATTTGTCAATTTTAGGTTGGACGTTGAACATTGACGTCGACCTGATGTGGAGTTCTGACATCAACCTGATTTTCATTTGTACGTTGAGGAACAATGTCAATCTGATGTCATGTTGACGTCCTTTGCCTGCTGGTTAAGTTGCACAGAATTCCTTTGTGTTGTCACAACACAAGTCAATATTTGTTTTGTTTGGATTCATTTTAAATAAGTACTTTAAAAAAAGCAGCAGCACAAATTATGTTTTGAGTGTATTGACTCAGCAAACAAAAAGGAAATGAAAGAAATCACTATAAAATCACTATAATATTATTAAACAAAAAAAAAAAAACCTCAAGTAATATGGGGAGGCATTGTGGCTAAGTGGTTAGCACTGTCGCCTCACAGCAAGAAGGTCGAAGAGAACAGAACGTTCATGTTATGTGGTGTTTAAAATTCCTTTAAGCAACATATTTTCTGTACGTTGTACATGTTTTTTTTTAGCGTCACTGTTTGTTCTATTAACATTCAAAGTAATGTTGCCATAATGTTTGTGAAATGATGAAGTGGAATGTTCCCTGAACATTTGCATAACCAAAACAAACCCAAAAGGTGCAGAGAACATTTGGAAATGACGTTTGCATAACTTATTAGGAATGTTATTGAAACATATTTTTGTTGGCTGGGTTATATCTGATCAGAATAGAAGTAACCCGACTCTCCACAATCAGTCTGTGCTTTTTTACGCACTTATACAAGCTCTTGCAGAGTAAACTGAATGAGATAAATTATATTATCGCTGTAATGTAGCTAGTTTAGCACTACAATATTTATTTATACCAGTTTATACTGTTGAAAATTATGTAATGCAGTGTGCACAATCTGACAGTACTTCTTTTACTAATTGTAACCATTTCCTATTTTGTTGTAATGTATTTTGACCCTAAAACATTTCACGGATGGACATTTGAAGCATTTGTGTGTGAAATACACTGCTTTGACCTCTGCATTTCTGTCTCTGTTGAACGTCTGTTATCCCTCAGTGTACACTAAACAGTCTCCAGTAAGGACAGTGCCGATCAGGACCGGTTTTGCCCATATTTTGTGGTGTAGATTTGTTGTTATGTAAAAGAGGAGATCTGAAAATGAGATAGCAAAAAATCTCACAATCACTGAATAACATATTTAGCAGCCTTTAGCATTAGCATGAAACACTTTGTGGTATTTATACAAAGCTCTTGTGTATTTATACAAGGTTTAACTTCATATTTTTAGTCTGTTTGACTGATGTAAGTTGAGATGACTAGTTTATTTGATTCAACTAAAACATTAATGGCAACAA